AATCAACGTAGTCCATACACCCGGCCGCCCTCCTAAGGGACCGTGCTACCGGTGTGGGTCACTACATGCACAATTTCCCCGAGAAAACGCCGGCGAAGGGGGACGACAGGAAGGAGCAGGGAAATGGGAAGAGTCACTAATTAGCGGGCCCTTTACTGACTGTGCTCCGTCGCCCAAACACCACCATCCCCACCGACTCGTGGTTCCGATTGATGCAATCGATCGCACTCGGCCGAATAACGGGGATAACCATGTGGATCACCCTGTGCTGGTCGTTGGCAAAGTGTTAAAAAATAACCTGAAAATGTTAGTTGACGGAGGGGCCAGCCATAGCCTCTTCAACTTGGCGACAGCAAAAAAATGCAAGCTGCAACTTAACAAGGTGTCTACCCGCAATCGACGCTCGCCTCGTGGATGGGACGCCTCTGACGATTTTGGAGGAAACACGGACGGTGCGCATCGAATGAAGTTTCTCGCGGCAACGCTGGACCGCTGCGACGTGCTGCTGGGACGTGATTGGCTGCGAAAACACAACCCCGCCATCGACTGGACAACGGGATCGTGCAGCATTAGCAAGCACGAGTGGCAAATTAAACTGCCTGCATGGACACCTGAGTACATCCAAGTCCCGTGCGTCAAAGCCATCACTATAGCTCGCCACTTCAACCGAGGCGCGCAGCTGTTCGCCGTTTGCTTACGCGATTTGGCAGTTGACACCGACGGAAAAGACATAGAGAAGTTGTGCGCAGTTGTACCACCGGATTTAGCGGAGCTGATTCGACAGTACCCCGACATTTTCCCCGATGATCTGCCACCTGGACTGCCACCCGAGAGACCTGAGGACCACAAAATCCAGCTGGTACCTGGCGTGCAACCGACTGTTCGGACACGGTGGCGGTTGACCCAGCCGGAACTCGAGGAGCTGCGAAGCCAAATTGACGCACTGTTGGAGAAGGGGTTCATTCGACCCAGTACATCGCCCTTCGCAGCACCAATCTTGTTCACTCCAAAAACCGACGGCGGGCTTCGCATGTGCATCGACTATCGCGCGCTCAACCGGGTGACAATCAAGTCTCGCTACCCAATCCCACGCACCGACGACCTTCTAGACCAACTTCGCGGCGCTCGCTACTTCTTGGAAATCGACTTACGCGGCGGTTACCACCAGATTCGGGTCTTCGCCGACGATTGTCACAAGACCGCGTTTCGCACCCGCTACGGAAGCTATGAGTTCACCGTGATGCCGTTCGGCCTCACAACGTGCCTTCGACATTTCAGTTAACCATGAACAGGGTATTTCGCGATCTTCTGATCCAATGCGTCATCGTCTACTTAGACGACATCCTGATCTTTAGCAGGACATGGGAGCAGCACCTCCGCGACCTTGACGCAGTGTTTGAATGGCTGCAGGAGAACCGCCTCATCACCAAGGGCTCTAAATGCGAGTTTTTTAAGCAGGAGTTGGAGTTTTTGGGGCACGTCATCTCACGCGAGGGCATTAAAATCGACCCGGCGAAAATCAAGACCATCCGGGAGTGGAAGTCCCCGACTAATATCACGGAACTGCCAAATTTTCTGGGGTTCGTGATAACCGGCCCGCTAACCGACCTGCTGCACAAGGACAGGAATTTTGTGTGGGGGGAGGAGGCAGAGGCGGCCTTTCAGGAGTTGTAGAATTTTCTTGTTTCCCCTCCGGTACTGCGCATCGTCGACCCATCGAAGCCGTTCGAAGTCATCACCGACGCCTCATATTTCGCCATCGGAGCTGTACTCCTCCAGGATTTCGGGAACGGGCTGCAGCCGATCGCCTACGAGTCACGCAAGCTGCAGTCAGCCGAGCGCAACTATTCGATACACGACAAGGAGATGCTCGCAATAATACACGCGTTCAAACTATGGTTCTGCTACCTGGTGGGCGCCGACGTCACTGTTCGCACGGACCACAATTCCCTACGGTACCTGCGAGCTCAGCCCAACCTCAACCCGCGTCAAGCTCGTTGGCTCGACTACATGAAGAGCCACTTCACCTACCGCATCACGTACAAAAAAAGGGGTGAATAACATCGCCGACGCCCTTACCCGACCGACAGTTCAATCCGCTGCAGTACTTATCACCCATTCAAACCCACTACTTACGGGACTATTCACCCACGGCTACACTACGGACCCGTTCTTCACGACTGGAAATCATCATCAGGCCACGACGCAGAAGGGGAATTACTACCTAAAAGCCGGAACAGAACGGATTTGGGTTCCCGCTTACCGGCTGCTGCGTGAACTCCTTATCCAAGAGGTCCACGATTCCAACCTCTCCGGACATTTTGGGGTTGATAAAACCCAGAAGCTGTTGCACCGTCAATATTATTGGCCTGATTCTGCTAACAACGTGCAGCGGTATGTGTTCTCATGCAGGGTGTGCCAAGCCATGAAATCGACACGTCAGCGACCTGCTGGATCGCTGCAACCCCTCGAGCCACCCGAACGACCGTGGCAACAAGTGACGATGGATTTCGTCACAGGGCTGCTAGTTGGGCCGTCCGGCAACGACGCTGTTCTCGTTCTCGTCGATCGCCTAACAAAAATGGCGCACTTCGCACCGTGTCGTACAACAATCACAGCCGAAGAAACTGCTCGCCTCTTCATTCCAACGGTCGTGCGACTGCACGGAATCCCCTCGGCTATCATTAGCGACAGGGATTCGAAGTTCACGTCGAAGTTTTGGAAGGAGACGTGGGCGCAGTACGGCACGAAGCTACAGTTCTCATCGGCATATCACCCACAAACGGACGGCCAGACCGAGCGAACCAATCAAACGATGGAGCAGCTGATCAGGACAAACTGCTCCGACCCCGCTCGCTGGGAACTTCGCTCGCCATGCTGGAGTTCGCGTTCAACAACGCCCCGTCCAGCACGACTAATCACTCCCCGTTCTTCTTGAATTACGGGATGGACTCGGTGGTGCCTACGACAACTACGCTCGACAACCCGGTCCCGAGGTCACAAACATTTGTGACGGAACTTTAGGAGATTCGCGAAAAGGCTGCAGATGCAATTCGCAAGGCGAATATCACTTCCCGCAAATACACGGATCTGCTACGACGGGAAATCATCATGACAGGTGGGCAACTAGTGCTGCTCGACACGAAGAACCTTCGCCTACCCGGCTCGTCGAAACTGTTGGAAATAATAGGTCGCTAGAGTAGCGGAAATACTTTAGGAGATATCGACGTCCCTACGGCGGGGCAATGGTCACTCAGAGGTAGTTCTCGTGGCTTGTAACTTGGTGCCAGAGCGGCGGTCGAGGGCAGGCCGGACACAAGGATGAGAATTGTGTAATATGAGCAGTGCAATACATTCAGTTATATAGGAAACATAGCAGGTAGGCAGTTACCAAGGCGCAACTGTATAACAGTTGCGCTGTAACGTTTCAGTTTCCCAGTTACAGTCGCGCTGGCGCGACTGTTCAGCTTCGGCAAGGGCGCGGTATTCTGCCGTGCCCAGCAGGGCTGTTTCGCGTACTGTTCATGCTGCCTCCTGCAGATTCTCGACTCTTGAGCTGCCACGCGGGCCGCAACCGCTGTGCACGGATGCGCCCAGTTGACTCGCCACCAGGGTCAATACCCTGGATATGGCGAGCCCCCTTAGCGCACTTCGAACAGTGCACTATGTAATAGAAAAGCGTAGAAACATTTTCGCAACAGAAACTACGGCCACGATTTTGTGGGCCTTTCAAGATCATTCAGATCGTGACACCTGTCACCGCGAAGCTGTTGCTACCCGACGATTGGCGTATACACGACGCCTTCCACGTCATCCTCCTTCGCAAGTTCGTGCATGCCATGACTGACATCGTGCGCCAGAACGCCGCCCCGACAGCACGACCTGTCGCCGAACCGACACTCAACCCGTCCAAGATTTTGGCGCACCGTGTTCGGCTCGATACCTCTGGACGCCACGTGGATTTTTTAATCCGTTGGACTGGCCGCACCAGTGAGGACGACACGTGGGTGCCATCCGCCTCGTTTGAAGCGTCCCCGCTCGTTGGTGATTATCTCGCCCGCAAGCGAGCTGCGGATATTGACCACCTTTCTTAAAGGGGGGGGGGGTAGTGTAAGGATTTTACCCGAATTCCTTATCGGGCTTGACTGCTACGCGTACAACCCCGATTTTCGGACTTGCACGTTCGGCCGACATCCACGATGCCGAGGCTCCTCGCGTCGCCTTCGGTCTTCCGATCGCCAAACCTGCACCCAACCTCATTTCCCGAGGTTACAAACTTGCAGGGCAGCGTGAGGCGACTGTTAGGAGAGTCGCACGGATTGTTCTTCAGCCAATCAGGTGCAAGTAGTGGAGAATGTCCACGCACAATGCGACTACTAGCAAAAACGGAAACGGGAAGCACCAACAACCTCAAAACGAGTGAGAAGAAAACACCACGACTAAACAAGCTAGCTACTTCCCGTGTGAAATAACCGCAGGAGCTAACAACAACAGAACGTGCAAACATTGGTGACGTGCCAGAACAAGTACATGCGGGGTCGCAGGAAGGATCGTTGAGAAGAGCGCGACAAAGGCCCGATATGGGAGAACAGCGTGTTGCATTAGGCACGTCGATTGCCTCTGGCAGCGCTAAGGACGACGGTTTAGGGCCATTGCTCTGGTATACTCGGCTCGCTAGTGCCTATTACTGAGGGTAATGCCACGTACCGTGTCGTGCACGTGCGACTGAAGTTAGCCCGGTGAAACTACTCCAGTGCCGCCATGCATGCGACAATCTATAATGATGCCAAACCCATTAGCAACCAGTGCTGTCGCTATCTGCGTGGAGTTTTGGTCCTCATGCTTCTTGCTTGCAGGCACATGGGAATGGATTGGAGAAAAACAGGGGTTCCGAGTGATTGTGGCAGGGCGGCATAGAGGAGCAGTCACATCCAAAGCGGCAAGCCAGTAAGGGCGAGCGAAGGAATGGTGTGGGGCGATCAGGAAAGAGCGGCAGGGCGTCAGGGTGCACCTCCCACAACACCAGCACTGTGGTGCTGCTGGCCAGGGCACTCAGATCCTGACAGGGTGGGGCAGGAAGGTGGAGAAATGGGAAGGGAGGGGGGAGCGGAGGAGGGAGGGGGGGGGGAAATGGTCAGGGGAGGGAAGGGACGAGCGGCAGGGCATAAGACTGCACCTCTCTCAACAGCACAGACGTGCGTGCGTTGATCGTGGCAATGATACCTGCACTGGCCACTGACACTGTCTGCTGCTCCATGACCTGATGAAGGGGAGGTGCTTGATGTTCACGGGTGGGAGAGAGGATTGGTCACGTGACATCAAATCAGCTCAAAACACCTCAGATTGTATTGAGGTACACCATGCATCATGCAGCACGCCCCTTGCACTGCCCATCCACCTTCCACGCCACAGGGTGACTACCGAGGATATACGCCACCGTACGGGGTTACTCCACGAGAAACGAGTGAAGTTTTGAGGATAACCCTGTGAAATTCACCTACATTTTAGTGATATATGTCACTCATCTCACGTGACTAATGAGGATATTCGCCAGCACAGGGTTACTCCTGCGGCACATGCAGCCCATTCACATGCAGCTCATGTGCTATCATCCCATGCACCCCCCCCACCCCCCCATCGCATACACCAGCCATCGCATACACCAGACCAGCCCCCTCACCTCATGTAGCATGCTGCGGGCATTATCGGACATGTTGTCAAACTCATAGATGCAGCAGATGAACCCACCCACCATGGCATATACTTCTCCCCTCCCCCCCCTTCCACTCCCCCCACCCTCTCTCACCTCATGCAGCATGCTGCGGGCATTATGCTGAACGAGGCATTATTGGACATGTTGTCAAACTCATCAATGCAGCAGATTCCCCGGTCGCTCAGCACCTGGGCGCTGCTCTCCAGCACCTGCTGGGCGGCAAGCATGGAGGGGAATGGGAAGAGAAAAGGAAGCACACATCTCAGCATTCAGCCCAGACTTTCTCAACTCATCGATGCAGCAGGCACTTTTCGAACGTGACCTTGTTCCTAAGTCTGCTGCGCTGCCCCCTAGTTGCACCTGCGTCCCCCCTCCTCCTTCCGGATGTGAATGCAGTCCAAATAGGTCTGCAAGTAGTTGGGTGGAGGCAGGAAGAGGGGGAGAATGGTCACTGAGCTTGCACACAAGTCTGCTGCGCTGCCCCCCTGTTGCGCGTGCGTCCCCCCTCCTCTTTGCGAATGTACATGGGGAGAGAGAGGATAGGTACATGGGGAGGGATTGGAGAGGCACATGGGGAGGGACAGGAAAGATGGTGAGATCGAGGGAGAGGAGGGGCATATGGGGAAATCGAATGCTCACCTGGTGCGCGACGCTCACCTCTAAGAGGGTGGGGGTAAGCAGGACGGAGGGCGGAGGGAAGCAAGGCAGAGGGATGGGGGAAGCATTGCAGAAGGAGGTTGGAAGCAGGGCGGAGGGAGGGGGGAAGCAGGGCGGAGGGAGGGGGGAAGCAGGGCGGAGGGAGGGGGGAAGGAGGGCGGAGGGAGGGGGGAAGCAGGGCGGAGGGAGGGGGGAAGCAGGGCGGAGGGAGGGGGGGAAGCAGGGCGGAGGGAGGGGGGAAGGAGGGCGGAGGGAGGGGGGAAGCAGGGCGGAGGGAGGGGGGGAAGCAGGGCGGAGGGAGGGGGGAAGCAGGGCGGAGGGAGGGGGGGAAGGAGGGCGGAGGGAGGGGGGAAGCAGGGCGGAGGGAGGGGGGGAAGCAGGGCGGGAGGGAGGGGGGGAAGCAGGGCGGATGGAGGGGGGAAGCAGGGCGGAGGGAGGGGGGAAGCAGGGCGGAGGGAGGGGGGAAGCAGGGCGGAGGGAGGGGGGAAGCAGGGCGGAGGGAGGGGGGAAGCAGGGCGGAGGGAGGGGGGAAGCAGGCCGGAGGGAGGGGGGAAGCAGGGCGGAGGGAGTGGGGAAGCAGGGAGGAGGGAGGCGGACAAGTGGGGGGAATGCTGGTGGTGTGTGGGGGGGAAGGGAGGCGGACAAGTGGGGGGAATGCTGGTGGTGTGTGGGGGGGAAGGGAGGCGGACAAGTGGGGGGAATGCTGGTGGTGTGTGGGGGGGAAGGGAGGCGGACAAGTGGGGGGAATGCTGGTGGTGTGTGGGGGGGAAGGGAGGCGGACAAGTGGGGGGAATGCTGGTGGTGTGTGGGGGCCTTCGCTACCGACGCGGAGTGGCGACTTGGGTAGACATGGGGAATAAGGGGAAGTGCGTGTGGATGGGGGAAACAGATGCGACAACGGGAGGCGAGGGCGTTGAGGAGCAACGCAAGCGACGAGGGAAGAATGAGGGAGATTCGGGTAAGCGTCTCACACGCGGGAAAGAGCGCGGGACGCGGGCAAGCGGTGATTCAGCGGGAAAGCGCTGGTGACCTCGGGTAAGCGCGGGAAACGCGGGTACGCGCGGGAACCGCGGGTAAGCGCGGGTAAGTGGGGATGACACGGGTAAGCGCGGGTGACGCGGGTAAGCGCGGGTGACGCGGGTAAGCGTGGGAAGCGCGGGTGAGCGTGGGAGACGAGGGCAAGCTCCGTTACGAGGGGAAACGCTTGCGACGAGGGAAACATTGCGCGACGAGGGGACGCGCGGGCGACGAGGGCATGCGCGAGTGCGGCAGCGCTCGTAAAGTGGGGTCGCGCGAATCGCAAGGGAAGCGCGGACGATGAGGTGATACACTCGCCACATACTAAGTGTGGGTGTCTAGACGAGGCGAGGATGACGAATGAAGGCGGATCCAGCGCAAACGAGTGTTTATTGGGCGGGCCATGCTATGCTGGCCAATGCGTTGCGGGGGTTGCCATGGAGGTAACCAGCAGCCTTTGACGACCCATGACTGTGGTGCGCTAGAACGGGCTTCCCGTGGCTGGCATGCGAAAATGGTAGGGTAATAGCGTGTTTGGCAAGAAGCGGGTGTTGCTCAGCTATTGGCTTGACTGCGGGAGTGACGAGAGCTCGAAGGAAAAAAAAAGCTTCTACCTAAACTAGCTGTTATCGCCCTGCCGCGCGTTTCCTAGTTACGTGCCTACTCTAGTGGATTAGGAGTACTACTTGGTCGTCAAGTTATGTGAGAGGTGACCACGGCAACCTGGTGGGCGATGTTCGGATCTGTTGTGCGACTGGGCACGGAAACCAATCGGGAATTACCGTCGCATGAAGTTTTCCCTGGGTCGCGAGAGTTCTTTCAAACAAAAGAGGGTAACCCTGTCTTTGGGCGACTTCAAGTTCAAGAATCTTGAACTTGTAGTGGGAATGGAAGAATAATGTTAAAGCAAGGGTGCACTTTGGGGGGGGGTGGACCCAAAGGTTTATCACTTGCCTTTGATGGTTACCCTGTTTGTGCCTGGGCATCCGACGCCAACCAAAAGGGCAGTGTTGGCGGACTTGCGCGTGTTGTCTCTCCACCGTCGTCACTTGCGAATGGCCAACTGAGAGTTGGGAACTTGCTCCACACTCAGCAGTTCATGAACCAAAACGCGCATTCCTACTAGTACCACAGCACACATATTCCAGCACATACGACTAGCACTTGGTTCCACGACAACATACTAGACAGCAAGAGGTTCACAGTTTAGCTCGTCATATCGTAGCCTTACTACCGCCCCACCCATAGCCTTCATCGCGCCCGCTAGATGCCTGGCTCGCTTGCTCTTAGGCGCATCCGCCTGTCGTGCCCCGCTGTGCGCATTTAGCGCGCTCTTATCCGCCACGACGCACGCAGAGCGCAGCAAGGACGGACGGGCGGAGGAACTACCGCAAACAGCGACATCGAGTACTATCCCCGCCCCCCACGGCGCATCCCACTCCGCGCGAAGCAGGTCATCTCTCCCCTTCGTCTCCCGCTCTTATCCCCTCCCGTCGACTTCGTGCACTCCCCTCCGTCGCACCAGCTCACTCCCCTATGTCGCCCGCGCTCACACGCAAGTACGGGCGCCCACGATCACTCCCCTTCCGTCGATGTCGTGCACTGCCCTCCATCGCACACGTACACCCCCCTCCGTCGCCCACTCTCAATCCCTCCCGTCGCCCACGCTCAATCCCTCCCGTCGCCCACGCTCAATCCCTCCCTTCGCCCACGCTCAATCCCTCCCGTCGCCCACGCTCAATCCCTCCCTTCGCCCACGCTCAATCCCTCCCGTCGCCCACGCTCACTCCCTCCCGTCGCCCACGCTCACTCCCCTCCCGTCGCCCACGCTCACTCCCCTCCCGTCGCCCACGCTCACTCCCCTCCCGTCGGGCACGCGACGCTTCCCTCCGTCACACATGCTCCCTCCTTCAAGTGGCCGGAATGTGATACGCTTGGGAAATGTTACCCCGCCAAGTGCGCGATCTCCCTCCCGTTGCCATCGCGCACTCACGCGATGTCGAGGCGATGCTCACTCCCCTCTATCGTCCGCGAGATAGGCCACTCCCCATGCGTCGTGGAAGTGCTGCCCTCCATCGCAGACGTTTCCGCGTCCAATGGAGCCCCAGATAGGAGCCATGTTCTTTACGTGGCAGCGACTGATTCAACTGTAAAAGTTGTTGTTAGTTAAAAAGTTTGCTTGAAATCTCTTGTAGAGAAATTCTTGGCGGTAACCAGTTTCGGCTTATAGCCTTCTTCAGACCACAAGGGAAAAATGAAGCAAACGAGAGCTAATATACTAATCCCAAGGACTCCACGCGAGGCATTCCTTCGCTGGGCCAGGGAGAAGCTGTACTGTAGAGCTGTAACAAACGCTACACAACACTAACTCTTATGAGCAGAAACTAAATAATTTCCAACTCTTTTAGGTAACTTCCAAGCGACGATAGCTCTCCGTGTAGAAAACACACCGTGTGACATTGTAGCGAGTTGACTTTTGAGTCGACTCAAAAGTCAAATCGCGCACTCACGCGATGTCGAGGCGATGCTCACTCCCCTCTATCGTCCGCGAGATAGGTCACTCCCCATGCGTCGTGGAAGTGCTGCCCTCCATCGCAGACGTTTCCGCGTCTCCGCCGCGTACCATCTCCCTCTTCCGTCGCCCCTTCACGCTACCCTCCTTCACCCCTGCGCACTCCCCTCCGTCGCCCTCGCACACTCCCGGATCCGTCGCCAACGCTCACTCCCCTCCCGTAGACCACGCTCACTCCCCTCCCGTCGCCCACGCTCACTCTTCCCTCCGTCACACACGCTCCCTCCTCCAAGTCGCCCACGCTCACTCCCCTCCGTGCTGGTTCTGCCCTCGTCCGATCCGTGTTTCCCCGCCGTCACCCCCCTGCTTCCCCTCCTTTCCCCCCATGCTTCCCCGCTCTGCCTTACATCCTTTTCCCGCCTTTCCCCACTCTGCATTACCCCCTCCTTGCACGTTTCCACCAACGGTGCCATACGCCCGAGTTCCTCCTGTTCCCTCTCGTCCCTACACTCTTCTTCCCCCTCTCCCCTCTCTGCCTTACACCCGTCAACCCCCTTTTCCCTCTCACCGTTACACTCTTCAACCCCCACCATGCGTTCTCTGTGTTACGCCCTTCTTCCCCCGTTCGGGACTGTCTTACACCCTTCTTTTCATATTCCCCACTCCGCCATACCCCCTTCTTCCGCCTTTCCACTCTCTCATGCCTTACGCCCTTCATCCCCTTTTCTACCTCGCAGCGAGCAGTGCAGCGGCGCCCAATGCTCCTTCTCTCATCTCCCTCCCCTCTCTCCTCTGTCTTCTCTCACGCCCCGCCATGCCACTCTGCCTCTCACCCTTCAACCTCCCCATCCCCTCTCTGCCTTACGCCCTTCTACCCCCTTTCCCGTCCAGGCCATACGCCTTTCTTCCCCCTTACGCCACTCTGCCTTACTCCCGTCCATCCACCTTCCCCTATCTCCCTCTCCTCCTCCATCCCACTTTCACATTTCTGTATTACGCCCTTTTCATGTCGTACGCCACTGTGCCCGTCTCCCTGCTTCCCCATCCCCTCGCGCTTCCCTACACCCCTCGTCCCCCTTTCCCCTCTCTCACCCTTCTCCTTCCCCGTTTCGCCTCTCAGCCATGCCCCCCTTATTCCCATTTTCGACCCTTGCTTGCCTTACCCCCTTCTACCCCCTGTTCCCTCTCTTCCTTACATCCGTCTACCCCCTTTCCCGTCTCTGCCTTACGCCCTTCTTCCCCCTGTTCCCTCACCTCCTTACGACGTGCTTCCCTTTTTCCCGTCTCTGCCTTACCCCCTTCTTCCCCCTGTCTCCCCCCCCCCCTTACAACCATCTACCCCCTCTACAAATCTCTGCCTTACCCCCTTCTTCCCCCTGTCCCCTCTCTTCATTACCCCCTTCTCCCCCCTGCTTCCCCTCCTTCTCCCCCCTGCTTCCCCTCCGTCCCCCCCCTGCTTCCCCTCCGTCTTCCCCCTGCTTCCCCTCCATCTCCCCCCCGATTCCCCTCCTTCTCCCCCCTGCTTCCCCTCCGTCTCCGCCCTGCTTCCCCTCCTTCTCCCCCCTGCTTCCCCTCCTTCTCCCCCCTGCTTCCCCTCCTTCTCCCCCCTGCTTCCCCTCCTTCTCCCCCCTGCTTCCCCTCCGTCCCCCCCCCTGCTTCCCCTCCGTCTTCCCCCTGCTTCCCCTCCATCTCCCCCCCGATTCCCCTCCTTCTCCCCCCTGCTTCCCCTCCGTCTCCGCCCTGCTTCCCCTCCTTCTCCCCCCTGCTTCCCCTCCTTCTCCCCCCTGCTTCCCCTCCTTCTCCCCCCTGCTTCCCCTCCTTCTCCCCCCCGCTTCCCCTCCTTCTCCCCCCTGCTTCCCCTCCTTCTCCCCCCTGCTTCCCCTCCTTCTCCCCCCTGCTTCCCATCCTTTGCTCGAACACTCGCGTAATGCACAAATGGTACCGCCGCCCTCCATGGCGCCCCCCTCTCCTCTCACTGCTCTCTATCCATCCCCGGTTTAGCGTCCCTCTCAGGATCCTATTACCATCGCCGCAACCCAGTGCCTAGAGCGGAGACCTCATCACTGACGCCGCGGCATCAAGACACACTTACCCTTTTCTGCCATATTCCCCTTATCCCCCATTCCCCATTCTGCCAAACTCATGTTGTTTGACATTTCACCAGTTTCACTTACATCCTTCTTCACCCTTTCCCTATCTCCCATTCGCGTTTCGTCGCCCTTTCCGCTAGCTGCCTAAACCCATCTCCGCAGTATCCCCTCACATCATTACACCCTTCTTCCCCCTTACGCCTCTCTGCTTTACTCCCGGCTTGACCCTCTTCTCTCACTGCCGTATACCTTTTTTTCCCTCTGGCTGCACGCCAATCTGCCATACTCCCCTTGTTCCACTTTTCCCCTGTCTACCATACATACATCTTCCCCCTTTCTCCTCTCTGCCTTCCACCCTTCTTCTCCCTTTTCCATCGCGGCCCACACCAACCTTCCCTGAATCCCCTTTCTGTCCTAAACACCCTTCCAGCGACTACCCTCACTCAACCTTACACCCTTCTTCCCCCAATCCCCTCTCTGCCTTGCCCCCCTTCCTCCGCCTTTCCACCCTCTCCACCTTACACCCTTCTCCCCCCTTCTTCCCTCTGTCCACTCTCTCTTATTATCTCCCTCCCCTCCCTCCCCTCCCTCTCCTCTCTTATGCCGATCTCCCCTCCCTGTTTCTTTCCCCCCTCGCCTTCACAGCGCCGTACGCGTTGGCCAATCCTCACCTCTCTTCTCAACATCTCCAATCGGCACCCCACGCTTTGCCTGCGCCACTCCCGGGGGTGTAACGTCAACACTCTGTGAGAGGGGGATGAGGGTACAGCACGCCATCTCTTCCTTGCCTCTCTCCTCCCTCTTTCCTTCTCTCATCTCCATCCCCTCTCTCATCCGACTTCCCTCACGCCCCACCCTGCCCTCTCTACTCCGCCTTCGAGCGCGCTTCGAGCGGAACCGCACGGGTGGCAATGCCGAAAGCGGGGAGTGCAAGAAAAGTCGGAAGCAGTGTGTAAGGCAGAGAACGCATGGTGGGGAATGTAGGGGGAAAGAAAGAGAGGGAGAAGGGGGAAGCAGGGCGTGATACAGAGAACGCATAGTGGGGAATGTAGGGGGAAAGAAAGAGAGGGAGAAGGGGGAGGCAGGGCGTGAGACAGAGAACGCGTGGAGGGGGACGTAGGGGGGAAGAAAGAGAGGGAGAAGGGGGAAGCAGGGCGTGAGACAGAGAACGCGTGGAGGGGGACGTAGGGGGAAAGAAAGAGAGGGAGAAGGGGGAGGCAGGGCGTGAGACAGAGAACGCGTGGAGGGGGATGAAAGGGGAAGGAAACAGGGGGAGAAGGGGGAAGCAGGGCGTGAGACAGAGAACGCGTGGAGGGGGATGAAAGGGGAAGGAAACAGGGGGAGAAGGGGGAAGCAGGGCGTGAGACAGAGAACGCGTGGAGGGGGACGTAGGGGGGAAAGAAAGAGAGGGAGAAGGGGGAGGCAGGGCGTGAGACAGAGAACGTGTGGAGGGGGATGAAAGGGGAAGGAAACAGGGGGAGAAGGGGGAAGCAGGGCGTGAGACAGAGAACGCGTGGAGGGGGACGTAGGGGGAAAGAAAGAGAGGGAGAAGGGGGAGGCAGGGCGTGAGACAGAGAACGTGTGGAGGGGGATGAAAGGGGAACGAAATAGGGGGAGAAGGCGGAACGAAAACGTGATACAGAGAACGTGTGGAGGGGGGATGAAAGGGGGACGAAAAAGGGGGAGAAGGGGGAAGCAGGACATCTCGCTCCTAACTGATCGCTGTCCACATCATCCCTCGCATTACACCTGTGCTCACCCACACAATGCAACCCCCCTCCGCCCCCCTCAGGCCCTACCGGATCTGGTTTCACCAGACTACTTTTCAGAGGCCGCCTCGACTCCAATATATCAACAATTTTTCACTGCTACCGAAGTGTGGCATAGGGCTAGGGTACTAATCTGTACGTTTGTGGAGTCGCTTTGGAGGGAGCGACTGCGGCGAATGCGACGTGGGGGAGCAGAGGGTGGAGTAAGAGGGGTTCGGACGGCAGAGGGAGGTGTGGCAGATAGTGGTGCAGATGAGGGAGCGGCAAGGCTGGGAGAACCGGCTGATGGATGGGGGGCAGAGGGAGGGGAGTGGGTGGTGACGGATGGCAGATGGGGGGTCGCCAGAGGGAGGAGTAGCGATGGGCGGGCCAGCAGAGCGGGTGGCGGCTGAGGGAGGTGAATCTGGGGGAGCCGTGCACCATGGGCACACGCTGCTCCCACTGTCCATTAGTCAACACGGCTAACCCCGTTGTCCTCTGCTCACATCCACATCTTGCTCACCCTGTCCCTTGCTCACGCACACGCATTTCCCCCATCTACCGTTTGCTCTCCCACAAGCATTGCGTTCTAGTTGACGCTTGCTCACTCGATCCTTCTCACCTTTGCACACACTCTCCCCATCAGTGATGATGTGCGTCAGATACTATTGGTGACTACGTTTGGTGGCTTTGGCACTCATGGGTTGCGCACAGGGGTCCACATATGGTTGCAACCACAATTCAGATACTATGTTTGTGTTCTGAAGGACGAGCATGCAAACCACACACACTTGGTGCTCGTGGTATGGTTCTGCGTAACCTTTTAGCGGATATTTATGTCGGAACAAGCAAAAGTCACGGCGTGGCTGTATATGCATTGATAAGTTGATAAACCAACACACATCCCGTGCATCTGACTGGATAGAGGGCGGATGGTCTAAGGATGGAGGCTCGTTTGATATGTCAAGGTTAGAACAACGTGTCCCCTCAGCCCTTCAATGGGCTCTTGCATCTCGTGCTGCACACTCTGCGCCGCCCGACTTCATAAGACACAGCTTCACCCTGCACAATGCGTAGTGGGGAGTCTGGATGGGAAGGGGGGGGAGAGATGGGAGGGAAGGGAGGACAGAGCAAGAGGAAGTGATGGAATCTGGGAAGGGAGGATTGAAGGGAGTATGCGAGGAGATACAGCGCGAATGGAGGGGAAGGGATGGGAATGGGTTACAGAAGTGGGGACGGGAAGTGCATGGACGACGGGGTAAGTTTCCGGGACGCGTCTCAGTTCTGCCGCGTCCCCACCCCTCCTACCCTTCCGCCCCACTGGCCCGCGCCCTACCCCCGCCCCCCGGCGATGCGACTGCTGCAGGCGCCCGTGAGTCTGGGAAGGCCGTCTGCAGACCCGCGGGCGCCCATCCTTGGCGAGGTTGAGGCGCGAAGGCATGGGCGCGCGCGAAGTACTGTCGCGAGAGGGGAAGGGATGAGCGAGGGGGAGATGGGATGCGAGAGGATGGGGAGGGATGAGAGAGGGGGGGGCGGGATGCAAGAGGATGGGGAGGGATGAGAGAGGGGGAGACAAGATGCGAGAGGCTGGGAAGGTATGCGACGGGGGAGGAATGGAAGATGGGAATAAACAAACAGGGAAGGGAGGGGACACAGGGGAGTGACTGGGTGCAAGCAAGCGGGGTCATTGACTAAAGGCAAAGGCAAAACAGAGGACAAGCAAGAGGGGAGAAAAGGAGCGGAAGCAGGGGGGGAAGAGAGGGGTAGCAGGGGGGGAAGAGAGGGGTAGCAGGGGGGGAAGAGAGGGGTAGCAGGGGGGGAAGAGAGGGGTAGCAGGGGGGGAAGAGAGGGGTAGCATTGGGGGACGAGAGGGGTAGCATTGGGGGAAGAGAGGGGTAGCATTGGGGGAAGAGAGGGGTAGCATTGGGGGACGAGAGGGGTAGCATTGGGGGACGAGAGGGGTAGCATTGGGGGACGAGAGGGGTAGCATTGGGGGACGAGAGGGGTAGCATTGGGAGAAGAGAGGGGTAGCATTGGGGGACGAGAGGGGTAGCATTGGGGGCCGAGAGGGGTAGCATTGGGGGACGAGAGGGGTAGCATTGGGGGACGAGAGGGGTAGCATTGGGGGCCGAGAGGGGTAGCATTGGGGGACGAGTGGGGTAGCATTGGGGGACGAGAGGGGTAGCATTGGGGGACGAGAGGGGTAGCATTGGGGGACGAGAGGGGTAGCATTGGGGGAAGAGAGGGGTAGCATTGGGGGACGAGAGGGGTAGCATTGGGGGCCGAGAGGGGTAGCAGTGGGTGTAATGAAGGGACGCGCTAGGTGTTACCCTAAACCCTTTTTTTGAGAATCGAGAGCCGGGGGGACAGAGGAGATGGAACGAGGGTTACGGGCGGGCAAATAAGGGAATGGAGGGGGGGACATGAGGGGAAGAGAAGGGAGTAGGGACGGCAGGGAGGAGAGAGGAGGGCCAGGTGAGAGATGAGGACACAGTGAGAGAGGGGGACGGGGGGGAGAGAGGAGGATAGTGGGGGAGAGGATGGGAGAGGAGAGGGAGAGATGAGAGATGGGAGGTAAGGATGAGAGGGGGATGTGATGAATGACGGGAGGAACGGATGGCGGTGAGCCCCGTGACCTGCACCATGCACTCGGAGGTGTTGGCATTCTGTGGGCGGGGGAACACGAAGTGAGCAAGGAGACAGTGAAGGCAAGCAGGTGGCGACAGGAGGGGAAGTAGGAGGGGAAATGAGTGGAAGCAGGGGGGGGTAACAGTGGAACCAGAGGGGGAAATATGGCGGATAAAGGGGGAAAACAGGGGGAGAAAAGAGGGGAACGAGGGGCGGATGAATGGGACAGAAGGGATTAGGCAGGAAGCGAGGGGGCAGAGGGGAGAACCATGGGAATTGGGTTGGAAAAAGTGGGCGAAAGACTGGGATGGAGGATAGGCAATGATAGGGTTGGAGGGGGGAAATGAGGGGAAGGAAGGGGGAACATGGGGGTCCGAGGGGAGCAAGGGATGAGAGAGCGGAGGAGGGGATGAGAGAGGGGAGGAGGGGATGAGGGAGGGGAGGCGCGGATGAGGGAGGGAAGGAGGGTATGAGAGAGGGGAGGAGGGGATGTGTGAGGGGAGGAGCGGATGAGAGAGGGGAGGAGGGGATGAGAGAGGGGAGGAGGGGATGAGAGAGGGGAGGAGGGGATGAGAGAGGGATGGAGGGTATGAGAGAGGGGAGGAGGGGATGTGTGAGGGGAGGAGGGGATGAGAGAGGGGAGGAGGGGATGAGAGAGGGGAGGAGGGTATGAGAGAGGGGAAGAGGGGATGAGAGAGGGGAGGAGGGAATGAGGGAGGGGAGGAGCGGATGAGAGAGGGAAGGAGGGTATGAGAGAGGGGAAGAGGGAACGAGGGAGGGGAGGAGCGGATGAGAGAGGGATGGAGGGTATGAGAGAGGGGAGGAGGGGATGTGTGAGGGGAGGAGGGGATGAGGGAGGGGAGGACGGAATCAGAGATGGAAGGAGTTGAGGAGCGATGGGGGGAGGGGATAAGAGAAGGAAGGAGGGGATGCGAGTGGGGAGGAGGGCATGAGAGAAGGAAGGATGCGATGAGAGTGGGGAGGACGGGATGAGAGATGGAGGAGGGGAGGATGGCATGAGAGAGGGGAGGAGGGGATGAGAGAGGGGAGGAGGGGATGAGAGAGGGGAGGAGGGGATGAGGGAGGGGAGGCGCGGATGAGGCCGGGGAGGGAGGGATGAGAGAGGGGAGGAGGGGATGAGAGAGGGGAGGAGGGTATCAGAGAGGGGAAGAGGGGATGAGAGAGGGGAGGAGCGGATGAGAGAGGGAAGGAGGGTATGAGAGAGGGGAAGAGGGAATGAGGGAGGGGAGGAGCGGATGAGAGAGGGATGGAGGGTATGAGAGAGGGGAGGAGGGGATGAGGGAGGGGAGGACGGAATCAGAGATGGAAGGAGTTGAGGAGCGATGGGAGGAGGGGATGAGAGAAGGAAGGAGGGGATGCGAGTGGGGAGGAGGGCATGAGAGAAGGAAGGATGCGATGAGAGTGGGGAGGACGGGATGAGAGATGGAGGAGGGGAGGATGGCATGAGAGAGGGGAGGAGGGGATGAGAGAGGGGAGGAGGGGATGAGAGAGGGGAGGAGGGGATGAGGGAGGGGAGGCGCGGATGAGGCCGGGGAGGGAGGGATGAGAGAGGGGAGGAGGGGATGAGAGAGGGGAGGAGGGGATGAGGGAGGGGAGGCGCGGATGAGAGAGTGAAGGAGGGTATGAGAGAGGGGAAGAGGGAATGAGGGAGGGGAGGAGCGGATGAGAGAGGGATGGAGGGTATGAGAGAGGGGAGGAGGGGATGTGTGAGGGGAGGAGGGGATGAGAGAGGGGAGGACGGAATCAGAGATGGAAGGAGTTGAGGAGCGATGGAAGGAGGGGATGCGAGTGGGGAGGAGGGCATGAGAGAAGGTAGGATGCGATGAGAGTGGGGAGGACGGGATGAGAGATGGAGGAGGGGAGGAGGGGATGACAGAGGGGAGGAGGGCATGAGAGAGGGGAGGACAGGATGAGAGAAGGAAGGAGGGGAGGAGTGATGGCGAGGCGGGGATGAGAGAAGGAGGGAGGGGATGAGAGTGGGGAGGAGGGGATGAGCGTCGGGGAGGAAGGGATGAGAGAGGGGAGGAGGGGATGAGGGAGGGGAGGCGCGGATGTGAGAGTGAAGGAGGGTATGAGAGAGGGGAAGAGGGGATGAGAGAGGGGAGGAGCGGATGAGAGGGGGAAGGATGGTATGAGAGAGTTGAAGAGGGGAAATGTGAGGGGAGGAGGGGATGAGGGAGGGGAGGACGGAATCAGAGATGGAAGGAGTTGAGGAGCGATGGGAGGAGGGGATAAGAGAAGGAAGGAGGGGATGCGAGTGGGGAGGAGGGCATGAGAGAAGGAAGGATGCGATGAGAGTGGGGAGGACGGGATGAGAGATGGAGGAGGGGAGGAGGGGATGACAGAGGGGAGGAGGGCATGAGAGAGGGGAGGACAGGATGAGAGAAGGAAGGAGGGGAGGAGTGATGGCGAGGCGGGGATGAGAGAAGGAGGGAGGGGATGAGAGTGGGGAGGAGGGGATGAGCGTCGGGGAGGAAGGGATGAGAGAGGGGAGGAGGGGATGAGGGAGGGGAGGCGCGGATGTGAGAGTGAAGGAGGGTATGAGAGAGGGGAAGAGGGGATGAGAGAGGGGAGGAGCGGATGAGAGGGGGAGGACAAAGGAGAGGGAGGGATGAGAGAGGGGAGGTCGGGACGAGAGAGGAGAGAGAGGGATGAGAGAGGAGAGGACGGGAGGACAAAGGAGAGGGGGGGATGAGAGAGGGCAGGGTGGAATGAGAGAGGGGGACGGGATGAGAGAGGAGAGGGAGAGATGAGAGAGGGAGGGGGGACGGGATGAGAGAGGAGAGGGAGAGATGAGAGAGGAGATGGAGGGATGAGTGTGGGGAGGGCCGGATGGGAGTGGAGAGGGAGGGATGAGAGAGGATTGGAAGGAATGAGAGAGGGGAGGCACTGATATGAGAGGTGAAGAAGGTGGGGAGCTGAGTGAACACAGGGCGATGAGGCTGCGATGCGGCAGGCGGCGACCTGTTGGCCTGGAGGGGAGTTGGCGATGTGGCGACCATGCTACGACGCCACGTCGACGAGGAAGCGACGCGGCTCCCCATGCGTTGTGTGGACGAGGGGGCGATGCCTGGGCGCGGCGGCGATGTGGAGGTGAGGCCGCGACCCCTTGCACCGTTGTAAACGTCGCGCCGGCCCTCCTACCACTTCGTCGCGCCGTCGAAGTGCTGCCCATTTTTGGTTGACACGCCGCGATGTGCCTCTACGGACCTAGTGGCTGCGCGATGGCGGCAAAGTGGGTGTCAGACGGCACTGCATCCCGAAGGGCGCGGGAATGATGCATCGCGGAGGTTCTTTGGCGGGGAGGCGGGAGGAAGAGGCGTTCTGAACAAGGCAAGGAGGGGACCAAGCCGTCTATGCCTCGCGTCAGCAACAAAATCCTACGATCCGATCACGACTCGCCGCTCTGTCTGGCGTCGCCACGATCTACACGAAATGTGGCCTTATGCGAGCGACCACCGGACCTCCGCATACGTTTGCGGCTGTTAGATCCAGGGCGTGCTCCCCTATGGTGGGAATAAGCACGGGAGGGCGAGCAAGTAGCGTCCACCCGCGCCGCGGGCTATGTCATGCACGAATCGCGAGCGAGTCGCCGCATTGCCTGGTTTTTCCCCGATCTGACCACGTCCTCCACCCCCGTCTAGCGCTGTCGAAACCCTAAACACGCAGCGTGTGGGGCGCAAGTCTGCCTCCTACATTTTGGGGAGTGGCATTCTTAGTAGTGGTGTGTGTGGTTGAGCACTGTGTTTTTTCGCCGCGTTAGGTTGACGGGGACATTTCTGTGGTGTGTCTGTTTGCGGGTTGGGCTTGTGTTCCGCCCAACCCGCGCGCGCGTTCCCCCCTCAAGCTCTGGACGAAATGGATTCCCCTCGCAAGTGTTGTTGGCGGATCTCGCACCAGCTATACAAACCGTACCAAAGTTCGTGCGCGAATCAGTGACCCTCAAGGGGTGTACACAAACAATACCCCCAAATACCACCCCCATGAATGTGCACCCTTGCTTTAAGGGGCTGCTGAGTTTGTTGGGAGCATCGAAGGTGCTCTGGTTAACTCCTTCCACTGCGTATCACCAGCATGCTTCTGGTTGCCTCATGTGCCTCCAGTGCACAGTATATCGGTAAGCTGTCATGAGGGTCAATGGTGAAACCACCCTACCCTACCCTAGTCCATGTCAAATCAATAGCTGATATGCAAACTATGGTTGTGTGATAATTCATGGATCAGGTAAAATCTTTCAGCCAACCAGTTCAGTGCTCAGTTCAGGGCCCATCCCTTACATCACAGTACTGCTAGCGCACTCCGCGTGCTGCCCCCTGCTTCTCTGCCCACGACTACTTTCTCCAGGAGCTCAACCTATACGACTTTCCAACCTACCATCCACACCTGCACTCGTGCAAGCACCTGGACCGGAGCCTCCTCCACACTCCTTAACAGACGGGGAAACGGATTCGTCCATCAGCGATTCAAGAGGATGGGCGCGGCTGGGCTCTGAAGAGCTTCAGAGGCGGGTGTTGGTGGGGCGGTGGCAATGTCAGGAGACAAAAGGGCGAGGAGGGGAGGGCCGTCTTGACGTGCATCAGGGGATGTGGATGGCAGAGAGACAGTGTTGCAATGAGGTGTTTCAAGGGAGGAAATGGGTTCAAGGGACAGGGTAGGTGGGAAGGTGGTTTGAAATCGGTTGAGGTGGAAGATGAGGATGTGAAGAAGGCGCAGGGAGGTTCGGGATATGCGGCACTGTGCAGAGAGGTGACAGTGGTTGCATGGCCCACCTTGGACTGTTTCGTTCTGAAAGTGGGGTGAAGGGCGAGAAGAGGTACAGGGGCTAATGGGAAGAGAACGGAGGCAGAGGGAACACATGAAAGTGAAACAGACACACAACTTATAAGGCACATGGAAATCAATCCGATGCACGTGACAGAAGGTCAGCCTTACCTCCTACCTCCTGGAAGAAGTGGTGCAGCAGGGTTGAGAAAGGATGGTAGCTGAGACAGGCGAAAGCATCAGAGCCACCACCCACCAATACGGGTACCAGCATCACCGCCTCTACTGCCTCCACTGCTGCGTGCAGAAATAGTAGGAGCAGCAGCAGCAGCAGAAGGACAAGCACGGGCAGCAGAAGAAGGAGATGTTGATCCAGCAGTGGTAGAGCGAGGTGCATGGGATGTGCGGTAGGAGGAGGGGATGGGGAGTGAAAAACAAAGGAACTCCTCCTCGCCGGTCCCTCCTTTTCCCTCTCCCATACTTCTCTGCCATTTCTGTCCAATCTCCTCCCCTCCTTCCTTCGTCTTTCCTTCCTTCCTCCCCGCCTACCCACTGGCGTCCTACCTTTTCCAAGGTTGGGGGAAGGAATGTGGGTGTGGGCATGGGCGTGGGAGGGAGAGGCGGCAGCAGCACCGATGGTGGCAGCTTTGTAGTGAGCAGCGAGCAGAGGAACTCGTGCGAGCCCTGATCGGGGCAGGCACATGGCGTAGGAGGAAGAGGAGTTAGGAGGTGGGGATGGGCGAGATGGGAAAGGGAAAAGGGGAAGTGAGGGTGCTATAAAAAACTGCGATAGACTGGCAACTAGTGGATCAGGCGGGTTCATCAAGCTTTTGCTGTAGCTCCAGTTCGGTGGCCAGGGGAGGCGAGAGGAGAGGAGCAGGGAGAGAGGGAGGGGATGACGGGGAGGACGGAGAGGGAGAGGAGGGGATGGTGAGGAGGAGGAGCAGTTGCCAGCAGCCGCAGGAGGTGGTGAGGAGCATTCGGGAGCAGCAGCAGCAGGAGAGGCGCAGATTCGTAAACGGCTGCGTACTGAAACGGGGGAGGTGGAGGAGGAGGAGAAGCAGCAGCAGCAGCAGCAGCAGCAGCAGCAGCAGCAGCAGCAGCAGCAGCAGCAGCAGCAGCAGCAGCTCGCGAAGCATCCACGAATGGATGAAGCAGCAGCAGCAGGAGCACCACCATCTCCTCCTGCTGCTGCTGCTTCATCCATTCGTGGATGTTTCGCGAGCTGCTGCTGCTGCTGCTGCTCCTCCTCCTCCTCCTCCTCCACCTCCTCCGTTTCAGTACGCAGCCGTTTACGGATCCGCGCCTCTCATGCTGCTGCTGCTGCTCCCTGCTGCTCCTCTAATAAAAAGGGTACAGGTCTTCGAAACGTCAATTGCATGTCATCCAAATTTTCCCACCACAACACCGTAACACTGGCAACATGCATTCAAGTCATTGCTGCTGCAACTCCATCACGACACCATACGCTCCTCCATACCTCTCCTCCTTGACCCGTCCCACCCCTCTCCTGTTACCATCGTTTGTTGCCCTGCCAGCATTCACATTTTTCATGCTCACGGAAATAAAAACCTCGATTGCCGGTGTGCTCCTCCTGCCCTTGTTGCAATAACCTCACCTTCTTTTCTTGCACCTCTCACCTGCTTCTCTTGCCCCAGAAGAATGGGGGCGCTTTGCCCTACTGCCCTTGTAGCCCCAGGAGCTGCCACGTCAGCCGCCCCTAAAGCTCAGTGATTACCAGAAGGCGAAGGGAGGAGGAGAGGGCGAGAGGAGCAGGGAGGGGCAGGTGGAGGAGGTGGGAGAGGAAGGGCGAGAGGGAGACGAGCGCTTTCCAGTGTGGCTTTGACGTAACACATGTTGATTGTAATGAATCTGCTGTTGTAGTGGGGAGGGACAGGGGACAAAAGAGGCAAGGCGGAATGAGAAGGGGAAAGGAGGGGGAAAGGTAGATGGCGAGAAGAAATGAGAAGCAAGAGCGGGCACGAGAACACGAGGGAATGAAAGGTGGGGTGGGGGAGAGTGAACGATGAAAGGATGAGAGAATCATAGGTTGGGGCCGGAGGGGACAAAGAAGACGGCGGAGCCGAGAGGGAAGAGAACAGGGCATGTAAGTCAAAGGGAAGAGGGGAAAAACCTATGAGCGAGAAGATGGAGAAGCAAGAGGAGCGAGGAGACAACGGGCGCACCCACTCTATGCTTGCCATCGCTGCACACGAAGGGGCACCAGCATGGGCAGCAGCAGCAGCGCCATCTCCTTCCCGTTTCCGTCTTCTCCCCTTCATCAGTCAAGCATGCGTTACCGCGTTTCCCCTAGGAGCCTTCCGACCTCTGTGCAGCACGCTCAAACGTCGACGTCACGGCACACCATGCCCCAGCTTCCCGTGGTTGTGCCCCTGCCCCATCTCTTGAGTTGCTCATGGCTCCCACGCCTCGTATCTACCCTGCTCACCCCCACTGCAGCCCCACCTGCTGCAGCACGCAGCTTCACTGCACCTTCGCCGACCTCTCGTCAGCTCTAGTCCCGCCATACATCTGCCACGCCATTGCATATAGACACCGCCGTGGAAAGACGCAAGCGTAACGCAGACGGGGAAAGGAAAAGAGGGGGGGTGTGCGGGGAGGGGAGGGGAGGTTAGGGGAAAGGCAAGTTGCAACTGCACAAGGGCTGACGTCGTGCATGGGCGTCGCGTCCGTGTGGCCCTCTGGCGGCCACCGCGGATCCCAACTGTCCGTGTCGCGGGAGCAGATGTTACATCTGCGGGGAGGCGGCAAGGCGCATTGTGCCCCGACGCGGAAGGCGCAGGGGCGTGGGGGGCAGGGAGGGCGTCGCAGGGTGAGGAAGCGCATTTGTGGTAAGTGCGACTTGTTGTGACATAATGCACACGCGGACGGAAAGGAGGATAAGGCGAATCACGAGCGAAAGTGCGAGGTGAACATATCAAGAGCGGGAATAGGCGGAGGGGAAAAGGGAAAGGAATAACAGGGGCAAGAGATTCCTGTTGACGCGGTGACATTAGGTCGACTCACGATAGTCATTTCGAGGCACGGCCCGCGGGATATCGCTCGCCTCGACTTGGACGCCACGTCCCCCTTTGTCGACGCTTTTGCGAAACCACTTCCAAGAATCTCCCTCTCTCGTTGTTGTCCCTCTCCCGCTCCCTCCTCGCCTTCTCCTGCCGCCGCCTGCGCTCCTCCACGAGTCGCTCCTGAGCACGATTCATCTGCTCTATGCCGTGGCCAAGCCCGCGAGCGCCACGGCATGCGGCCCCGTGCTGCTGATTGATGTGGACGTTGGAGGTGACAAGCTCGCATGAAAGCACGGGATGAGTTGCGAGATAAATTGTGTGATGTCTGGGATAAGGTATGAGAAGAGGTGCGGGATGAGGTATGGGAGAGGTGTGGGATAGGGTATGAGAAGAGGTGCGGGATGAGGTATGGGAGAGGTGTGGGATAAGGTATGAGAAGAGGTGCGGGATGAGGTATGGGAGAGGTGTGGGATAAGGTATGAGAAGAGGTGCGGGATGAGGTATGGGAGAGGTGTGGGATAAGGTATGAGAAGAGGTGCGGGATGAGGTATGGGAGAGGTGTGGGATAGGGTATGAGAAGAGGTGCGGGATGAGGTATGGGAGAGGTGTGGGATAAGGTATGAGAAGAGGTGCGGGATGAGGTATGGGAGAGGTGTGGGATAAGGTATGACAAGAGGTGCGGGATGAGGTATGGGAGAGGTGTGGGATAAGGTATGAGAAGAGGTGCGGGATGAGGTATGGGAGAGGTGTGGGATAGGGTATGAGAAGAGGAGCGGGATGAGGTATGGGAGAGGTGTGGGATAAGGTATGAGAAGAGGTGCGGGATGAGGTATGGGAGAGGTGTGGGATGAGGTGTGGGATGAGGTGTGGGATGAGGTGTGGGATGAGGTGTGGGATGAGGTGTGGGATGAGGTGTGGGATGAGGTGTGGGATGAGGTGTGGGATGAGGTGTGGGAGAGGTGTGGGATAGGGTATGAGAAGAGGTGCGGGATGAGGTATGGGAGAGGTGTGGGATAAGGTATGACAAGAGGTGCGGGATGAGGTATGGGAGAGGTGTGGGATAAGGTATGAGAAGAGGTGCGGGATGAGGTATGGGAGAGGTGTGGGATAGGGTATGAGAAGAGGAGCGGGATGAGGTATGGGAGAGGTGTGGGATAAGGTATGAGAAGAGGTGCGGGATGAGGTATGGGAGAGGTGTGGGATGAGGTGTGGGATGAGGTGTGGGATGAGGTGTGGGATGAGGTGTGGGATGAGGTGTGGGATGAGGTGTGGGATGAGGTGTGGGATGAGGTGTGGGATGAGGTGTGGGATGAGGTGTGGGATGAGGTGTGGGATGAGGTGTGGGATGAGGTGTGGGATGAGGTGTGGGATGAGGTGTGGGATGAGGTGTGGGATGAGGTGTGGGATGAGGTGTGGGATGAGGTGTGGGATGAGGTGTGGGATGAGGTGTGGGATGAGGTGTGGGATGAGGTGTGGGATGAGGTGTGGGATGAGGTGTGGGATGAGGCACGCGATGGGGTATCTGATGAGGTATGTAATGAGGTGCAGTGCACAGCTGTTCCACCACTATGTCTTCCTGCTAGAGTGCACAACCATGACTGCTCATGTACCTCTCAAACGCAATACCAAAGCTGAAGACACTCCGATTTGGAGTGCCAAATATCGACAAACCAGCTTCTTGGTTCCGCCCATGCCCCAAACATTACCTCCCCATGCCATGTCACCGTGGGGAGGTGGCTGCTAGGAGCAGCTGAGGGGAGATAGGAGGAGGGAAGGTGGGGTTGGGGGAGTGCATGGAGCGTCCTCTGCTGCCACCATCAACAACCCATCAAGGAGGAGGGGGAGGTGGGGAGGGAAGGGAGGGGGAGAGAGGGGAGGGAAACAAAATAGGAGGACAAGCATGAGTGTACTAGGGAATCGGGCATGTATGGTTGGGGTGTGGGATGAGGTGTGCGATGTGATGGGGTGTGGGATGAGGTGTGCGATGTGATGGGGTGTGGGATGAGGTGTGCGATGTGATGGGGTGTGGGATGAGGTGCATGTGCATTGCTGTCCCAGAAATATGCTTCTCATGTAGCTAAAAAAAAAAAAAAAAAAAAAAAAAACTCCAAATTCTGAAAACCCTCCAATCCGAAATGCAAATTGCCGCAACTCCGGAGGCCTTGGTTCTGCCGTTGCCCCAAACTTCACCTCCTCTGAGTCGCCCCAGTTCAACACCATCATCAACTATCCAACAAGGAGGTGGGATTGGGGAAGTGCATGCGGTCTACTGTCACCATCACCTATCCACCAACGAGGAGGGGGAGCAGGAAGGGGGAATGGGGAGGGAGAGAGAGAGAGGAGGAATTGACAGGGATATCGACACGGATCTGCCTGGCTCAACTATCTCGAGTGGAGTCACGCCATGCATCAATTGTCCCACCCCCGAACTGACTCGATACGCTGCAATTCGAGTCAAGTGAACAAAAAAATGAAAGTCGGAAGAATGGGCCTGCACTCAACTTGGGCACTCATCCCATGCCTATTGCTGTAAAACGCTGCATGCCCTGTAAAACAGCTCATTCAACACTCACATCCCATGCGGTTTGCAGATTACCTTCACTCTGGCTGTATCCTGTATCTTCTGCCACTCCTTGCAAGCAGCCAATTCCTCCTCTATGACATAAGGCCAGCTTGAATCCTGCACCTCCCTCCTCCCCTCCTCCATTTCCGCTGCCGACTCTGCTCTCATTTTGCCCTCTTGCTTGCTAACTTCATCTCTCAGCTCTCTGGATGCCAACTCCCTCATTCTCTCAGGGATATTCAATTGCTCTGCCATTGCATTCTTGTAATCGGCCAGTCCCCCCTCCACTGCAGCCAACTCTGCAGTCAGCTCTCTCTCCCTAACCTCCACATATCGCGCAGATCTGAAACCACTCCGTCGTTTTTGCTCTTCCCGTGAGTATGCGGCTTCCTATTCCTCGTTATGCTTTCTAATACCATATTTCAACTGCTTGCCGGTCCTTGGCCTATCGTTGCCTAATTTCGCAGTCTTATCTTAGATTTTGTAGGATGGGGTCTCACACGAACATTAACAGCCTGCCCGATGACCTTCTCCTTACGATCTTTAGGCGTTCCTTAAAAGAATCCGCTTCATGTGGATCCTACATTGACAGCTTCTGGACCTCCAGTTACGTTTGGCCACTTTGAAATGAGCAAGCTAAAGCCCTAAAACTGGGTACAATCAAGACGCCCATACCAGCCCCCTCTTCAGCCACAGACATGGCTCAAAATCTCCTAATCGCGTCCGTTTGCCGTCGTTGGCAACGTGTGGCGACGCCTCACGTGACCACGCTCTCTGTGAAAGAAAACATCCTGGTGTATCTTGAAGATCTCTCAGCCGCCGTCGCGTGCTTCCCCAACCTCACCCTTCTACATCTCAGCGACAATAGTGCCGAGCCGCTCGACGACGCCTTTCTTGCTCGCCTCGCGTCCTCATGCCCGAAGCTAACAGCTCTCCACGTGGGGAGGAGCTTTCCACGGCCATGGAACAAGGGCGAAGTTCACCCGGTTCAACAATAACTATGGATGGCTTGGATTGGTTTGTTTTGAAGCTCCCTAAGTTGGAGCAGCTTTCCATCTTTTACCACCACCCTCGTTTGCCTCTTTTGCCTCCACCAGATTCCTTCTTCCAACTGAAGCATCTTCATACTCTTGTTGGAAATAACGCTGCAACGTTGGAGAATCCCGGTTTTGCAAACCTGACTACTCTTACCACCCTTTGTATCACATTTCCCATGAACAATATGCAACTGTCCAGACTCCTTCACCTCCCGCATCTTGCACATCTCTTCACCCTCGGCCTTTACATAAACCATCAGCCGGCAGGTGTTGCAAGTGTGACGCTGCCATCTTGCCTAAGATCGCTCAATTTCTTGTTGAATTCTCCCAATTTCGACGCCATCTTCCCACCAGCATCGCCGTTCACTGGGTTAGAGGAGCTGCTGATCACTGGCTGCAGCGAGCTGGAGAGCCTTCCAGACGGCATTGGAGACTCGCTGCCGTGCCTTCGCAAGTTGACCATTCGCGGATGCTTCAGTTTCGCTCACTTGCCTGAAACCTTCACTTCTCTAACCCGTTTGGAATCGTTAATCATCTCCATTTCTGCAAGATTTACTTCACTACCCGACAACTTTGGCCATCTGCCTGCCCTCAAGCTGCTGGTGCTTGAATGTTTGTGTTTCACCCAACTCCCTCCTTCCATCGGTCAACTCACGTCTCTCGAGGCACTTTTTGTAGTTGATTGTTTTGACCTTCAGGCTCAGCAGCCGCCAGCATGGTTCTTCCACCTCACGGCTCTCAAGGCGCTCTGCTTCTCAAGCTCACCTAAATATGCGTTGCCAGAGGACGTTGGGGCTCTCGCAAGCTTGGAGGCTCTCAGGCTGCATGGCTGCCAGCACCAGCCCCTTCCGACCTCCTTCACCCAGCTGTCTTCCCTCACGAGCCTTGAGCTGGAGGCATGCAGCCAAGTCGAGCTTCGGGAATCCATGGGAGAGTTGAGAAACCTACGTAAGCTGAAGATTGTTGATCTTCCAATCTGCACCCTTCCTAGCTCTCTAGTACAGTTTACGAGACTTCAGAGCTTGGAGGTTAGACGCTGCGAAGCACTCACAGAAGTACCCTCGAGGCTAGATGCGCTTGTGGGGCTGAAGAAGCTGGTGCTGACGGAGTGTGAGGAGCTGAGTAGTCCCCTTGCTGGTTTGCCCCCTTCTCTTGAGACCCTCTGCTTGGGGCCTTTCATGGAAGGTTCTTCCCATGTGGTGGACATCTCGCAGCTGTCGCAACTGAGGGTGCTGAAGCTAAACCGCGTTGGGGAGATATGTGGGCCTGCAGTGAGCAGCTCGTTCTTGTATCTGGAGCAGTTGAATCAGCTGGAGATGCGCTTGGGAAGCGGGATTCAAGAGCTCCCAGTCCCGCTGACCTTTCTTCCTCGCCTGCGCAGCTTGCTGATAGATGCGCCTGGAGTCTGCAGCCTCCCGGAAAATATGGCAGCAGCGTTGTTGGAGCTGCGGTAGCTGAAGCTTCTTTCTTGGTCACCAAAGGAGCTACCAGGAAGCATACTGGAGTTGCGCTCGCTGGTGTCACTCACACTTGAAGCGCCTCAGCTGGTGGCGCTACCACAAGGCATGAGCCGCTTGTCTCGGCTGCGCAAACTGGAGCTGATACGCTGCAACGCCTTGCAGCACCTCCCAGAGTTTCTCACCCAGCTGCACCGGCTCATACTGTGCAATACCTCCATCGTGTAGCTTACTATACGGCCTTGACAGCCACTCTGGTTTTTTACAGCTGGACTGGAGATTCTCTCAGAGGACTTGACCTAGTTGAAGGCGCTGCAGTGTCTCATGGGGGTGCTTGGAATGTCTGGTGCTTGTTAGAGAAGGTGCCTTTGAAGCTGTTCCTGCACCAGTGAAGCTGGTGCGAGGGTGGATGAAGGAAATGTGTGGACTAGATAGTTTTGAGACTTGCGAGTGTGCTCTTTGATCTGTCTTGTCTTGTACCACTGTTTGTTACTTGGATTTTTAGAAACGTGTTTTCGCTCCCATTGTCTGCAGGGTGCATATGCAAGCCAATTTCTCGGTACTGGAAATGTAGCTCAACTATTAATGTGTGTCAAGTTCCGTATGATCTTGTTAGCATCAGATCAACGGTGCCACAGGTAACCAACCCTATAAATCCATCAGCTTGCTGAAAATTATACACCTGGGATGGGAGAGACTGTTGAATGCTGCCAAGAGGACAGAATCATTACCGCACCTCAAGTTTCCTTTCATACACTGCAATTCAGTCAAATGTTGAAGCAGCCACATCATTCTCATCTCATCTTGAATCCTAACCCAGCCACATCATTCTCATCTGATATTGCATGGCACCTCATCCATCCATCCCCCTCCCGTCCTCCTATTCTTCTGTGATATTGCCTCCAGTTGAGGGTGCTGTCGGATCTTGGAAGCTGCCACCAGTGACTAGTTAGCAGGAACGTTTGTGCCCTCAAAAAGAGGTCCATGAACTAGTACTGTTCAACGTTCAGAAATGCATCCTCGTCATTCTCGTGTGTTGTCAATTACAATATATAGAAGTCGCTCCCATTGTCATGCTTCTCGTCTCATCACCATGTGGCTACCAGAGGAAGAAGGTGAAAGGGTGGGCTGGATGGAGCGATATCGTAAAGAGGGAATTGTGGAAGGACTGGATGCAGCAGACAGCTATGGTTTGCTCATGTGAACCTGCCGGGTACGCATGATGAGGTTTTTTTGCAACAGCCAGGCATGAAACAGGTAATGTCATTTATGCTAGATGGTGTGCTTGTATAGTGTGGTGGATGAATGGATAGGCACCTGAGAAACCTGTGATAGCCCTGCTTGGGTGATCATGGGTCCATGGTTATGCAATGCATCTACGGTCCTGTCTTTTGAATGCTGCGCTTTGAGAAATGCATTCAGAGACTGCGATTTGCAATTTGAGGGAAATGTAAATTTGAGGGAAAGATTCGAGATATGCATTCTGGGATTTTCCCCCTCTTCCAATACACCCCCCTCCTGGAATAACCCCTCCCCCCTTCCTGTCATAACCCCCACTCCTCTCATTTACCCCCCTCCTCTCATCCGCCCCATTCCACTCATACCCCCCATTCCTCTCATACCCACCACTCCTCTCATACCCCCCAACCCCACCCCCCCTCTTTCATTACCCCCTCTCCTTTCATAACCCCCACCCCTCCCCCCATCTCTCGTATCCCCCACTCCTTTCATACCCTTTCGTCTCTTACACCCCCCTCCCTTCATCTCCTCCCATGCCCCCCTCTCCTCTCACACACACCAAATCTCTCATACCGCCGGTACCCCCCACTCCTCCCATACCCCCGACTCCTCTCACTCATGTAATTGTAAGCCGTCGCTCTTTCATCTGGTCCTGCTTTTCACCCTCGCACTCCTTTTTTCTGCCCGTGAACGCCTTTTCATCCCACTCAGCTCAAGCCTTTTCATCCCACCGAGGCCTTTTCATCCCACCCATGCCTTTTCATACCACCCATGCCTTTTCATCCCACCCATGCCTTTCATACCACCCATGCCTTTTCATCCCAACCACTCCTTTTCATCTCAACCTGGCCTTTTCATCCCACCCATCCCTTTTCATCCCACCCACACATCCCTTTTTATCCCAACCACTCCTTTTCATCCCACCCAAGCCTTTTCAGCCCATCAAGGCCTTTCCATCCCACCCACCCCTTTGCCATGCGTTGGCTGGACCTAGTAGTGTGCTGCTTGCTGATCTGTGGCTCGGTCAAGGAGAGGATTGTGCATTGTGGCTGCAAGATGCTGTGCAATGCTTGTATAGGTCATTATAATGGTTGTTAATCATGCTGTATGGTGTGCTGTGCTAGTAGATCCAGGGATTGTTGAGGTGCGAACATCTAAAGCGGGTGGAGGGAAGGTGGATGAGATGGGATTAAGGGAAGTAGAACAGGAGGGAGAAAAGGGGAAGAGGGAGCAGTGGAAGGGTAGAGAGCGGGAGAGGGCGGATGTGCGGGAGATAGTGAGGGGGATGGGTGCAGCAGAAATGAAGGGAGCCCCATCTTGATTGGCAGGGCAGCTTGGGACAGGAGTTGGTGGCATGGGCGTAGGAGAGGAGGGCAGTGATGTGGGTGTGGTGGATGGGGGGAGTGGGGCGAGCGTGGGGGACGAATCGGAGGAAGAGGAAGGTGAAGTGAGAGAGAGCCAGGAAGTGGAAGAGGTTGAAGAAGTGAGGGTAGAGAAGGAGGAGAGGGGGCATCGTGAGCAAGAGGAGAAGGAAGAAGCAGAGGAAAACGAGGAGAGGGGCGATCGGAATGAGTGGAGGGAAGAGGAGGAGGGGAAGGGAGAGATGGGAGAGGAGGGAGAAGAGGGAGATGAGGGAGAGGAGGTAGAGGGGGGAGAGGAGGAGGAGGAGGAGGAGGAGGGAGAGAAGGAAGAGAAGGGAGAGAAGAGAGGAAACGGAGTGAATGGAGGGAAAAGAGGGTGGGTGGGTGGAGGGTGGCAAGGAGATCAAGTGTGTGGTTCAGAGTGAGGCAGACAATAGGCAGGGGAAGCACAGCGAGGCATCGCACAGGAAGGTGAGGGGGGTGGAGGGGAACTGCCACCATGCTGGACGGGCATGCGTGCAGGGAATGAAGGCAAGTGCACGTGGAGCAAGGCAGGCTGTGTGCCGAGGAGTGAAGGCACCGGGAGGGGAGGAAGAACAAGGGGGAGATGAGGGAGAGGAGGACAAGGAGGTGAAGTCAAGTGGAGATGTGGTGGAGGTGGCAAGCACACATGCCATCACCCTCAGCAGTAGCAGTGACGACAGTGATGGGCGCGCGGGGCGTGGGGAGAGTGAGGAGAGTGAGGGGAGTGTGGAGAGTGGGGAGGCAGTGAAGAGCCAAGAGAGCAGGGGAGAACACGGCAGCAGCAGCAGCTCTGATTCCGAATCTTGGAGGGATGAACGGAGAGTGGGGGACGACAGGAGGTGTAGGGTGGTGGAAGGGAGGGAGGCAGAGGGTAGGAGCGGCAGGGAGGAAGGGAGGCATACGACAAGTCCAAAGGAGAGGTGGAGACGTGAGAAGCGGGGCAAAGGCGTGGCAGCAGGAGGTATTGGCAGGCGGAGAAAGGTGCAACAGGTGCAGCAGCAGCAGTTGAGGGAGGGAGAGCTCCGGGTTAGGCAGGGAAAGGGAACGCGTGTGCACGCACAAGGAGGGTCGCAGCAGCTTTCGTCGCCTCCTCGATTCCACTCCCCTTCGCTTGTATCCTTTGGCATGCAGTCGCTCTCCCTTCAATCACCTGTGCCTGTGGTTGTGTCACACGCTGTATAGTCACATGTACCCAGTGATCACCCCTCTCACCCCTTGCACCCTCCTCACCCCGTTCACCCTTCTCACCCCGTGCATCGGCCTCACCCCACTACTACTACGTCGGAGCCGCGGCGCTCGTCACGGGTGAGCAAGAGGGACGAGCAGAAGCAGCAGCGGCTGGCAGAGAGGCGACGAGAGATGGGCGAGGATGTGAGAAAGCGGTTGGACGACCTGCTGGAGCGAGAGAGTGACAGAGAGAGTGGGTGAGAGAGTGAGCGAGAGAGTGAGTGAGAGTGAGAGAGAGTGAGAGAGATTGGGAGAGTGGGAGAGAAAGAGAGATGGAGTTCTTGTCAAATGTTAATGTTATGATAGGCTGCAGTGAGGTACTCCCTAGAGAGTATAGCTTTTGTAGGATTCCTATTTGTACCCTTGCAAACCCTAATTCCAACCATTCCGTTGCATTCTACTCTTGAGATGGTATCAGAGGGATCGACGGGTGGCCAAGGCGGTGGTGCCACAGGACGGTGCGGGGGCGAGAGAGCGACAGGAGCAAGACACAGCGACTGGACTGGACACAGCGACCGGACCGGACACGACTACCTGGCTCGACACAGCAACTGGACTGGGGACCTGGGCTGGAGGGGACGCAACGACCTGAGGGGAGGACGCGACCGGGGAGCGCTCGGTGTGGAGAACGTAGAGACCGGAGCGGGGCTCCCTGGTGAACGTGGCCAGAACAGCACCTGTGGTAGCGTCTGTACAGACTGCAGACCGCCCACCCCCCACGAAGGTAACCGTGATCCCCCTGTCTTGGAGGTATCCAACACCCACCAAGTTCCGAGTGAACGAGGGGATGTGGAGGCCGCGCAGGACACCAGAGGGGACCACAGGGCACGGGAGGGTACTGGAGCTACGCGCAACGGCTGGTCCAGAGGTAGGATCAGCCAGAGCCACTGACACAGGAGTGAGGAGTGGCGTAAGGGTCGTGTGGTCGCGGAAGAAGCACTGAGACGCACCCGAGTCCAGCGTGAACGACAGAGAGGCCTTAGCCGGAGGGTCACCTGACCCAGTCGCTACACAAGCACCTAGAGCAGCAACACAAGCACCTAAGCTAGACAAGCACAAGGCTACACTAGCAGGAGGCAAGCAGGCTAAACTACGAACACGCGAGCACACAGATCCATCAGCACTAAAGTCAGCATCAACATACAAAGCATGCTGACGCGCATCGTCCATGGACAGATCAAAGACATCAATCTTACGGGCTAACAGACGAGACCAGCGAGGCGTGACCGCCAGAGGGCCCCAACGAGCCCGGTAGAGGTCGTTGAGGCGGCGGAAGCACCGCGCGGCAGAGTGGTCGTCGCGACCACAGAGACAGGGGCTGCCCGGCCCGGTGAGGCACCAGTGGATGCAGGGGCCAGCGTCACGGCGAGGGGGGCGAGGGGCCCAGCTGGTAGAGCTGCTGCTGCGGCCGGTGCTCCCAGGGCCTCCCGGACCCCACTGCGGCGGGGGACCCCAGTGCTGCTGCGGACCCCACTGCAGCGGGGGCCCCCACTGCTGGAACTGCTGCAGTGCCTGCTGCTGCTGCTGTCCCTGCTGCTGTTGCTGTCCCTGCTGTGGCTGGTGCTGCTATGGCTGCTGCTGCTGGGGGGCAACACCCCCACCGGTCGGGCCACCACTTGTGGGTGGACCTGTCTGTCCTGCACCTCCTCCAAGGCCCCCTCCCCCTGGTGCACCACCGCCGCCGCCGCCGCCGCCGCCTCCGCCACCACCGCCGCTCCCACCTCCACCGCCCCCTCCACCGCCGCCTCCTCCGCCCCCACCTCCCCCCTTCCCGCCCTTCTTGCCACTCTTGCCCCGTTTCTGCCAGTCTGCGGCAGAAACGGCAGCGGTGTCCTCAGAGACCGACACAGCAGCAGAGGCGTGGGTAGCGGTGAAAGTGGGAAGCTGAGGGGCGGCACACCCCGCAAAGAGACGGGCGGCCACCGCATCAGTGGCGGAGGCAACGGTGAGGAGGCTGCTCTCGATGGTCCCGAGAGCAGTCTGAAGGAGGTCTATAGTGAGTTCAGTGGGGTGCTTCTGAAGAAGCGCGTCACGGGCAGTGGCAAGGCGGTCAGGGAGGCGGGTGACTAACCAGTGCACAGTGAGCCACATGGGGGGGGGAGCAACAAGGAGCTGTGCGTCGGTACAGGCCGAACGAAAACCGGCGTCAAGCGAGCGGAGGTGAGTCACTAGGTCGGAAACAGTCGCAAACGAGCCTAGGTCGGGAAACACGAACGGCATGAGGAGGCGACTGAGGGAGGCGGAGGAGGGGGTGGAATAGCGGGCAACAATAGCATCCCAAACCCCCTGTGCTGTCTCCACCTTGTCAAAGTGGGCGGCCTCAGTCGGGGGGAGAAGCTCCGACAGCGTGAGAGCGGCGGCAGCGTCACGAGAGAGCCACACGTCCCGTGCCAGGACCCGACGCTCGTAGTCCGCCTGGGCCGTAGGAGTCGGCTCCGAGGCGGTCGGGAGGGCGGCGGGGGACGGGGGGGCCTTGAGGGCACCAGACGCGTGGGCCCACAGAGTGGCGCCGTCCTGACGCTGGCTGGTAAGGAAACGCGTGGTCTGGCGCTGCCAGGTACCGAACTCTATCGGGCGTCCCTCCGCATCGAAACGAAGGCGACGGGACTCCATAACGGAGGCCATGCTAGAGGCGGCCGGAGCTCGGCGAAGGAGGAGCTAAGAACGAGGAGGGAAGCCTAGGAGCGCCAGGTGTGGCGCAGTGTGAGACCGGCGGAGCTAGAGGCTAAGAGCACGGAGGGACCTAGTCTAGGCGTGAAACGGCGGAACTCCAGCTACATGCACTAGGGGCGACGAACTAGCAGGAACACGGGTCTACCATAGGTGGCCGGCGAAAGAAAGCGGCTGCCAGCCGCTGAGGGCGAGACCAGTGGCAAAAGAGTTGTCTAGGGCCCCGCGCGCAGGGCGGTAGTGGGGTTCGGGCGCGTGCCAATCGCGGGTGGGAACGGGCTAACGTGGAGGCGCGAGCCTAGGTGAGGGCGAGGGCACGGTGGGCTCAGGGGGAGGGCGCACGACGTTAGGAGAGGGCGGGGAGGAGGGTGCGTGACGGTAGGAAGGGGTGGGGAGGAGGGCGCGACGGTGAGAAGGGGCGGGGAGGAGGGCGCGACGGTAGGACAGGGGCGGGGATGGGAGGGTGACGCGACGGGCAGGGGAAAGGGAGGCGACGCGACGGGCAGGGGAAGGGGAGGCGAACGCGACGGGCAGGAGGAGGGGAGGCGACGCGACGGGCAGGGGGAATGGAGGCGACACGACAGGCGCGAACGCGACGGGCAGGAGGAGGGGAGGCGACGCGACGGGCAGGGGGAAGGGAGGCGACGCGACGGGCGCGAACGCGACGGGCAGGAGGAGGGGAGGCGACGCGACGGGCAGGGGGAAGGGAGGCGACGCGACGGGCAGGGGAAGGGGAGGCGAACGCGACGGGCAGGAGGAGGGGAGGAGACGCGACGGGCAGGGGGAGAGGAGGCGACGCGACGGGCAGGGGAAGGGGAGGGGGGCGCGACGCGACGGGCAGGGGGAGGGCGCGACAGTGGGAGGGGCCGGGCTAGGCGTGCGTTGAGGGCGCGGAGGGCGCGGAGGGCACTAACGTGTGGAGGGCGCGGAGGGCACGAACGTGCGGAGGGCACGGAGGGCACGAACGTGCGGAGGGCGCGGAGGGCACGGAGGGCACGGAGGGCGCTAAGGCGCGGAGGGCGCTAAGACGCGGAGGGCGCGTGGGCGCGGAGGGCGCTAGGGCTAGGCTAGGGCTAAGGAACTCGAACCTACTATGATACCATCTCAAGAGTAGAATGCAACGAAATGAGTGGAATTAGGGTTTGCAAGGGTACAAATAGGAATCCTACAAAAGCTATACTCTCTAGGGAGTACCTCACTGCAGCCTATCATAACATTAACATTTGACACTGGGTTCCATCACTAGCTGCTCTCCACTCTCGAAGTCGCTATTTTTTTACCTCTCATTTTAGGCTGAGAACCTAGGCGTTTGTGGCCAAGGTACATAACTTCCGACCCAGTTGGAATGCGTAATGTTGTTAGGTATCTTAGGTTCATACTCATGTTTCCCCTCTCTGGCGATCGTCACCCTCAGCTTCAGCGTAGGCCCCTCGGGCTCTCGGTAAGTTGCTCTTCCTCTTTCATTCTCCCCTCGAACACCTCGTCGCCCTTGCGCTCGCTTCAAATAGCCCTCCCACCGCCCGTCCTCCCTCTCTTCACATAACCCACCTCGTTGCCGTGGCGCTCTCGCCAAGTCACCCTCACGTCGCTCTTCCTCTCGCCCCTGCAAACACCCACTTCGTCACCTTCACGCTCGTCTCGAATAGCCCTCCCGTCGACCTTCGCCTCTCCCCATCACGTGTGCCCTCCTTGCGTTCTCCCCTTGCGGCCCGCCGCCCTCGCTACTCCCTTCGCTGCCCGTCGCTCTCGCTAATCCCGCTCCTCACCATCTCGTCACTCACACCGTCTCCCCGCCGATCAACCATTTCAACACCCGCGAGCTCACCTTGAATCGCACTATCGTCGCCTACCACCCCACATCATCGCCCTCACGCTCACACCGGACAGCTCTCTCGTCGCCCACCCCGTTTCCCCTCCCATCACCCACTTCGTCATCTTCGCGCTCGTCCTGAAACGCCCTCCTTTCTCCCCTCCCGTCACCCACCGTTCAGAACACCCCTCTTATCACCCACACACCCTTCCCTCACATCGTCCTCTCCGTCACCATCCTGTCACCCATTGTGCCTCTCCTCGCATCACCAACCTCGTCACGTCGATCCCGTACTCTCCCCACTCGTCCTGTCACCATCGGGACCCTCCCTCGCATCCCTTCTGCCTCGCTATCTCCCATCGCATCTCTTCGCCGTCGCTATTCCCCCTCCCTCCCCATCGCCCTCGCACTCTGTCCTCTCGTCGCCGTCTCGTTCTCCCTCTGCTATCGCGTCATCGTGTCCCGTTTCGTATTCTGTTATTTATTTTTGTGCGTGATGTATTTTCATCCCTTCCCGTCACCCTCCCTCTCGTCCCCCACCCAATTTCTTCTCCCATCGCCCACCATATCGCCTTTGTTCTAGCTATGAAACGGCCTACCTTCCTCCCTCTCCTCCAATCACCCATATCGTCGCCCGTGCGCGTAGCCCTCACGTCACCCTCCCCAATGCCCCACCCAATCCCGCGATTTTTGCTCACTTATCACTCCCCTCGCGCCCTCGTTTCCGTCGCCCTGTCTCTTTCTTCTATCGTCACCTTGCTAAATCTCTGTTTTTTCCCTCCTTTTGTTTCTCCTATGCTGTTTGTGCCGCCATAACAGGTTTTTGTCTAAGGCGTTTGCTGTGCGTGAATTGCACATCTGTGAAATTGGCAAACCATGTGAAAGGGAATTGCACGTCACAAACTTGCGACACATTTGCGTTGCACATGCTTGCGATGATTTTTGTTGGATAAATTCAGTGATGACTCGATCAGTACATAACGCGTCGGAAAAAAAAAAAAACAGAACATCCAACTTTCAAGTGGACCCAACTAGAAGGGGGGAGTCACTACTTTTCCTACGGGCTTTAAGTCATAAAATGGCTGCCTTTTCGCCTGCTACATTCCACTCCATGTTGCACAATGGTAGAACACATCGCGGTACATTTGGGCTCAATTGAAGGTTACAAACACGATAAAGTACAGCTCGTTGAAGAAAACTGTTGTTTTTTTTGCAATAACCACTTATTTCTGGTCGGTGTACTCATTGGTCTCTGGAAAAAGCAGCAGCGACGGAAAGCTTGATGCTGAGCATGGTGGGCGGAATGGAAGTGCTGCTACGCTCGCCTAATTCATCATCCCCTTGACTTGTGCTCCTCAGGCCACTGCATTTGTAAGGAAAGAGTGGAGATATAGGATGGAGACGCACAAGAGGCATAGCATGTGATTGTGGTGGTATAGGATGGTAACGCACACATTTCTGCAGGGTGCGAAGGACGAGGGTGAGAAGGAACAGGGCGAGAAGGTTGGGGGATCAAAGCAAGAGGCTCGGCACAGAGTGAGGAGCAGGGAAGAAACAGTGTGCGAAGGACGAGGGTTGTCTTCCATCTAGACCCTTTATTGCAGCGGCACGAGGGACGGACACAAGCTTGTCAAGCGGGATGTACCGGATCAGAGCGCATGAGAGGCGTCGCTCACTCAAAGGGAGGCACCCTCAAGGAAAGTCAAAGGGAACCGAGAGGCGAGCGGTGGTTAGGGAGTAGCAAGTATTGCTGCCATTCGAGACTTGAGCCCGCCCACCAGCCAGGGCACACAGCATTAGAGCGGATTCCTACGCAGGGACACCATCCGAAGTTGCGACACCTTGACGGGTTGCTTATTTGTTTTCGATTGAAGGACTAATGATCAAGTAACCTCGTAATTTGACAGGCTTGATAGAACCTCGAACCCAACCCTACGCAGAGGCAAGCTAGTCTCGATGTGTTTGGTCAGCTGTGCTTTAAACAGCTTACTGACATGAATGGCGTGGAGTGTACTGAGATCGTAGAGAATTTCGTGTGTATTTCTCAGCAGTGAAATCTTCGTAGCGTGGTTGTCTGGGTCAGTTTGCTTCGGGGGAATAGGCGTACAGCATAAAAAAAACGTTCAACATGTCCAGAGTTCGGATGGTGTCCGTGCCCAGGAATTCGCTCTTACACTCTAAGAGGCTCGCGTCTCGGGCACTCGTTTTTCAAGTGTACTCCCTCATGGTGCACTCGTACCCACTTATGATGAAGCGCCACTCACCACGGCACTGCTTCGCAGTGGTGCCCAAGACTTGAGGGGCGGGTCACACACACGTCTTGTTGCCGTCCACCAAGGCACACGTAGCTGACCCACACTGCTCGCAGCCTGTAGGACACGCATGGGGCGTTTGTGGTGGCAGGGAGGAGGGACAACGTGGGAAGGAGGAGGGAGAAGAATGATGCAACGAGGCATGTGTTTCGCTCGCAGGAAGCATGGGCTCACTGTAAGAATGGGCTGCAAGCAATAAGTGAGTCAGGATGGCGACTGTGCATGCAATTTAGCAGCCACTAGACTTTTGCAAGAGCAAAGCAACAGTGATGTGTCACACCACCACATACCACACTACACCACACCGCACCATGCGGCAAAGCTCTGGGATGTCACAGCTGTGAAGCACAGTGCTGTGCGGTCAAACGGGCGTTGACACATGAACGGGCTAGCGTGCGTGTGACAGCTTGCAAGTGAGTGCGGGCGAGTTCAGTGGTGCAATCTTACCCGTCCAGCACTTCATTGACCCTGGCAAGCCCTTGGCTGTCGTGATCGTCCTGCGACCGGCAGCAGGAGGGTGGCACGGGAGCACAGGAAAGGATCACAAGTGAGACACGTGGAGGAGACTGTTGAGATACGCCCCTCCCCATGTTTGGGATAATGCGTGCTCACCAGTTGGTGAAGGAGCTGCTGGTGATGGGCAGAGGGCGCTGGTACGTCACGTAGGGATCCCTCTTGCAGTCCGCAATCGGGTGGAAGGCGATGCTGATGCACTTGAGGTTCAGCTGCGGGACGTCCTGGATGCCCCACTGGATGCTCGCGTTGATTGGGGGCGCAGTCGAGTACAGCCACACGACATTAGTGCACGGACTGTCGTTGAAAATAAAGCGACCGGAAGCAGTGCCCGTTCCCTGGAATTTTACAAACGTGTCGTAGACACCGGCGCTAGTTTCTGGGATGAGCGCGACGAGGCCAACGAGGACCGCGGCGACGCCAACTTGAAGGGCGGCGGAACGCTGGCCGGCGCGTGCCATGGCGACGCGAGACGGGGCGAGGGGAAGCGAGGCTGCGCTGCAGCGTGGTGACCGCGTGAGCCGCCCGCACTATCGTGACGCCGACGCTTTTCGAGGCGTCTCAAAAGTCACGTGATGTGGTCCGCTCTGTGTAGTAGTGTTGACGCTTAACCGCGTCGTGCTGCTGCGGTGGTCCCGATGCGAGATGGTGCGAAGCGACGCAAAGTGCAGCGATACGTGAGGGGAAAGAGAGAAGGTGGGAAGCTCGTGTGGAATGGCGAGACATGGTGAACGACGGAAAGGGGGGATTTATGTAGTGAGAAAGGAGCAGCTGGCGCGGGACGACAATGGGAGGTGAAAGGAGCTTGAACGACCCCGGCGGATTTTCTGACGATTGGACGATGCGGCTTTTTTGTGCTCTGAAATTTCAGGGCGAGCTTCGCCATCCTGACTGAAATTTCAGCCCGGATTTCTAAGGGTCTGGATTTTTCCGCCAGGTCTCAAATTTTTTAACCTTGGAACAGAAAACTATTTTCACATTCCCTTGTCCACCCAATCCTTGGTGGCAGCGCACCTATCGTACGTGATTGGGCCAAACTCTTTTGCGCCTCGTACAGCACAGCACGAACGAGCTGACCATGACAACTTGTTGAAAGCCATGGCACGTTCCTGTCGTGCTGTACGAGGCGCAAAAGAGTTGTTGCTGCTCAGCTGGGTGTGTGTGCTACTGACTCATATTGAGCACACACAAGTGACAATGAAGTATTTGCTGACTGACAAATGGGCATCGCCATAACTTACAATGACTTCAAGACCGCCATGGCCGTTTGCGAGATCTTAGGGCAAAGCATCCGAAAAATCTCAGGCAGGAATCGCTTTGAGGGTGTGGGGACCACCAGGTCACCCTCATGTGGTAACCTCGAAGTTTCCATCAGACACCCGCAGGTTACCTTTGATGGCGGGCGAATGTGGCGAAGTGGTAATCCACGCACTTGGCGTTTCGGGAAAAGGATGCTGGCCAATCAGGTTGGCGCTCATTTCGTTGTAACCCAGTGGAAACCCTCCAGCTTTAGAGAAAGATTCGGCTTCAGCTAGGGTTTCACATCGAGGCAATTTTCAAAGTAGGAGTTCGTTTATGGGATATCCATCTTGCAGAATAGAGTAAAATTAATTCCTACATGTTGGTGCTCACACATTTTTGTATAGTGAATGAAAGGAATCACCGTTTAAATCCCGTCGTACAAAAAAAAAAAAAAAAAAAAAAAAAAAAAAAACAACACCAAATTAACAGATCTTAGTGAACACCTGTTTTGGGCTGCCATTCTCCAAAATATAACCAAAGTCATGATGCTGGTTCACACAACTGCTCCATGTAAACATTTTCTGAATTAAGAGCGCATCACTCAAAGCAAAATCAGAGAGGCTACAGTCATTTCATATAACATGTTATGAGTTGTCAAACAGAGTTGCGCGGAAAACGAATAACGAAGCTTGTGACTTACAATGTACTGACGATAAAATGAAAGACATGCGTGTCAAATTGCATTTGTATGTCTCTAGGCTGTAGTGGGGCATACTCTAAAGGGTACAACACTTTAGGTAAACCCTACTTGTATCACCCTGCTGCATAGTTCTATCATTCCTGCGTAGTACTTTCTAACATGGTTTCAAAGCAGGTCCCTCCGTAGGACCACTCCGTTAGGGCCCACCGCTAGCTTCGACCTGCCCGTTCGTTCCTGCCCTGCCCTGAACAGCGTCCCTCACGCTGCCCTGCCTGCGCTGACGCACGCTCTCTGCCCTGCGCCGCACGCTGCCTCCTTGCTGCCCAGCGCGCGACCAGCACGCTTCCCTGCTCGCGCCGTGCTCGCGCCCTGCTCGCGCTGCCTGCACGCGCGCTGCCTGCGCTCGCCGCGCGCCCTGCCTGCACGCTGCGCCCGCTGCCCGCACGCTGCCTGCGCTGCCCGCGCGCTGCCTTCACCACTCGCGCGCTGCATTTGCTGCCCGCGCGCTGCTCGCCCCGCCCGCGAAATGCCTGCGCGCTGCCTGCACCGCCGGCGCCCTGCCCGCACACCGCTTGCCCTGCCTGCACCCTGCCCGCGCGCTGCTGGCGCCGCCCGCGAGCTGCCCCTAAGGCCCGTGCCACCCGTGCTCTGTACAGCGCCGCCTGCACGCGCAGTGCATACGCTGCAGCTGCTGCTACGCTGCTGCCACCGCCCGCGCTGCGCCGCCCTGCGCTACCAAGCCGCGCCGCCCTGATCGAGCCGTGCCGCGCCGTCCGCGCCGCGCCGCCCAGCCGAGCCGCGCCGCCCTGCCGAAGAGCCCAGCTGAGCCGCCCTGCCTAGCTGCCCAGCCGAGCTGCCTTTGCTGCCGTACCTGTTCGCTACTGATGCTGCTGCTGCTGCTGCTGCTGCTGCTGCCACTGCCACTGCCCACTATGGCTACTCTTAATGTACTTACCTTTGACGCGGAGGGTCGCCCGATTAGGTTTGACTTCTGGCTTGAGGATCTCCAGCTGTACCTGTAGAGCATCACTAGGGAGGACGTTTCACTGTTAGAGCACACTTTCCGGTTCTTGCCTTGCCCCTGAGGAGTCAGCTGAGCGTGTTCTTCGTACTCAGTGGCTCACGCGCGATGCCGCCGCCCGCCTCTCTGTCCGCAATGCCCTCCCGCTAGAGGAACGAGTCCATTTTGGCCAGCTTAAGACGGTAAAGGAACTCTATGACGCCGTAGTTGCTCGTTACTCCTCCCCTCTACTGCTGCCCTAGGCCGTATGATGCTGCCGTACCTCTTTCCTGAGCTGTTGGATTTCCCCCTGTCGCTGACCTCATGACCCACCTTCGCTCTAGTGACGTTCGCTACCGTGCCGCTCTCAAGCCGGCCTTTCAGACTGCGAACCAGCCTCCGATGTACATCACTCTATACTACCTCGTTACGCGCCTCCCTGGCTCCCTCCGCGCCGTTAGGGATCACTTCCTTGCTCTTGACCCCACCGAGCTCACCCTTGACCTGCTGGAGAAGCATCTCCTCGAGGCCGAGACCAGTACTGTTGCTGTAGCTGCCTCTCGTGGCACTCCCCGCCCCCCCTCCTTTGAGGGGTGTTCTCCCTCCCTTCTCGCGCCCTCCGTTGCTACTGCTGCTGCTGTTGACTTCCTTCGCACTGAGGAGGTCGGTGCTGCGTCTGCTCCTACTGGGAGGCGCCGCAACGGCAAGGGCAAGGGGGGTAAGGGTGGTGTGGGTGGCGCTGGCAGGGGTGGTGGCGGTGGTGGTGGCGTGGGTGGAGGAGGTGGTGGTGGCGGGGTTGGAGGCGGTGGTGGCGGCAGTGGAGGTGGCGGGGGTGGTGGAGGCGGTGGAGTGCGCGGAGGAGGCTCGGGTGACGGTCGGGGTGGAGCTGGCAGGGGGAGAGGCTATGGGGCGGCGACTGGGGGTGGCGGCGGAGGCACTGGGGGTGGACAGCAGCAGCAGCCACGCCAGCAGGAGCCACCCACCCCTCAGAAGCTTCGTGAGTGGGTTGTCCAGCATGGCTCCTCTGGGGGTAGTGTCCGTTGCCCGTACATCACGCGCACGGGCCTCAGGACTGGTGAGCCATGCGGGAAGACGCATACTTTGTACCGTTGCTTCGCCTGTCTCGAGGATGCCTGGCGCACCGAGTACGGAGATGAGCAGGATATCCCCAACTGGTTAGCGCTGGGGGTGGATGTGTTTGCTCTTGACTTTGACAAGATCAATGGTGGAATCTATGCTATGTATGCTGGTTCTGTAAGTGTTGAGGGTGACTGTTACTCGTGTGTGCCGCGCGCTGCTAGCGCGCTCGCCTACCTAGCCCTGCCTGCGTGCTGCTCTGCTGCTAGCGCGCCCGACCGCTCTGCCCGCTATGGCCACGCTCAGTGTCCTCACGTTCGATCCGGAGGGCCGCCCGATAGAGTTCGATGGGTGGCTTGACGACTTACAGCTGTTCTTACTGAGCGATTCCAAGGACGAAGTTTCACTGTTTGACCTCACGTCTGGCGCCTCTCTCGCCTCTGCCGCCACAGCTGACAGTACGACTCGCTCACAGTGGCTTACTCGTGACGCTGCTGCTCGCCTAGCCGTTCGCAACCACCTGCCGTTAGCCGAACGCGCTCACTTCGGACAGCATAAGACTGCGAAAGCATTGTACGACGCTGTAGTCGCTCGTTACTCCTCCCCGGCCACTGCTGCTCTAGGCCGCCTTCTCCTGCCCTACCTGTTCCCATAGCTGTCCGCCTTTGCCACAGTAGCCGACCTCGTCACTCACCTTCGCACTAGTGACACTCGCTACCGCGCTGCGCTTCCCACCGAGTTTCTCACCAAGAACCCTCCTCCCATGTACATCGCTCTCTACTTCATAGTCACCCGCCTCCTTGACTCTCTTAGCGCTGTCAGGGACCTCCTTCTAGCCCTTGACCCCACCGACCTCACTGTCGACCTGCTCGAGAAGCACCTCCTAGCAGCTGAGACTAGCATAGTCGCTGTAGGCGCTTCTCCTGGCACTCCTCGCACTCCCTTCTTTAAGGGGTGTTCGCCCT